GGAGGATTGATTTGCTGATAAAAGGATTTTCTATATGTCATTGTAATACTGCAAAACAGGTCACTTCAAGAAGATGTATTTTCCACGCTTATACTATTTTAGAAAAAAAAAACCAGTACTGAATCATTTACAGTAATGTTGCTGGTATAAAATAGCAATGCTTTATAATTTTGGGTCATTCTCTAAGTAAGGGAAACATTCCATGAATTCTAGTTTTTTTTGTTCAAATATTTTAATATTTATTCCTCCTGTAGATTAGCACTTAAATAGTGTCACAAATAATAAACTCACTGGAGATGCAGCATCACTTAATGCTAATAGTCAGAGAAAGTATTCATAGCCCTTTGCTGCTTTAATCTGCTGAATTCTCTGAAATCTTGTGTCCTGTCCTGTGATGCTGCAGCTTCTAGTTAAAGCAACTTGGAGTAGGCACTTCCAGGTGTCATACCTCTCCTTTCCCTTCAACACACAGAATGACTGAGAAAGCCAAAACATCCTCAGAAGAACTTATCACATTTCAGATATATAAAGGCCCTGTTCCTGGTCAGGCTTATATTCCTTTCTTAAGATTGTGAACAAAATTTTGTATGATCCTGAGAGATAAGTTTCATCAACAGACATCTTTTCATGGCTCTAGGAAAAGGAAAAAACTTGATTTCATTTAGCAGTTTTGGCAATGCTGTAAAAACCCCTTCCATACACAGAGGGCCTGCTCTATGACTTAGTATTGCTTACTTCCAAAATAGGCACTACTTTCACTAGGTCAAGTGGCACCATTTGATAAAATATCAATTTTTCAAACACTTGCATTGGGAAATCTATCCTCCTTTTCTAACTTCCCAGAGCAGTCTTTTCCTTGGCCTAATTTTCAACTCATCCTTACATTTATAGATTTTTCTAGTGCTGTTACTTTCTGCTCAGCATTTTCATAGCTGCTGAATGGAGTAATATTAAAGGATAGGTCACCCTGCATAGCTGTCTGTAAGGAACATTTCAAGACAGGGTTGGATGCATTTCTTTTCTATTTCCAGCCAATTACTTAATCAACATACCTACTATAGAAAAATAATGTGCAAAGTAAAATGGGGCATGCTACAATATCTCACTGTTTTTAAAACCCCTATATGTCATTTCATAGCATTTTAATTTTTTCATGCTTTGTAATCACTACTTTCTTGACACCCACTGTACATTGACTAATACAATCACTAAAAATCCATCTCAGAATTTCCTAATAATGTCTAAATTTATTTGCAATCTATGTCTGAATAATTAAAATTAAAATATTGCCTGGTCTGCATTCTTAACCAATACTTGCATGTGGAAAATATCAGTAATGCAAAAAGAAATGTTTAATTTCAGTATTTCATTTTCTGTTGTGTTGTTAACTGTAGCATTATTAATAGCACTAAAGTTACTTAAATAAATATTTTATTATTTTACCAGGAAGGTAAAATTTATACATCTATATACAATCAGTAATAGAGAAGTTCTTTGCACCCACATTTAACTGCTGAGCATGCAGAATTGTGTGCTTGACGAGTCCAGCTCCTGCCTCAGCATCCATGCAATTCTTCATTTTAATTAGATCTCTTGGCAGAGATGCAGACCAAAAGCTCATAAGTCTCCTTTGACTGTTTTAGATGAATCAGCCTTGCTGTGATACAGTGCACACCTACACACTCACATGCTTCTTAGCTGTCTTCACAGGATAGCAGGAATTAAATTAAAAAGTCATATGGCCACCTTACACAACAGAAAGAATGGAAAGTTTGGCATTTTCACACTTATTTCCACACATATTTCCCTCTTACATCTTCTCAGTGCTCCAAGTACTTAACCAGGGATTTCTTGCAAGAACTTCATCTGATCCTATGAAAAGTGGAGTGAAAATCACACTAGAGTGGCTCCGATAGTTGTACAGATTTTATCTAGAAGTAAAGAAATGTGATCCAAGTAATTTTGTCCTGGGAAGTAAAGACTGAATTACCCAAAGTGTGGTGACCCTGTTCCAGCTCATGCTGGTCCCCTGCTCCAGCATGGGTCCTTCCCGTGGGGTCATTCCTTCAGGAACAGGCTGGTCCAGTGAGGGTCCCCTGTGAGCTGCAGTCGCTACCAGGAGCTGGTACAGAATGACTGCATGGGTGACAGACAGACAACCAGCTCAGCAGCTGTACTGGACTGAACAGGATCTGTTCTTTGCCTTCTTAATGTTTAGTTCATTGCATCAAAATGTATTCAATTCTTAATACTGTTGGCCATTAAACTACCCATAAGGAAATGTTTTTTGAAAGCATACTGACATGTGGACTTTTTTTAATATGCCAGTCTATTCAAGTTTTAATAAGTACAGAAATTCAGAAAGAATATGTATAAAAGGCTTTTTTGTTTTAATTACATTGCAGCTTGGCAGAGTATGAGAGGTTTATGCTTAAACACTCTTTACAAATAGAACAACAGACTTTAATTTCTTCTGATGTGATTTCAATTTGGCACAGTACAGCCTGAGCTCTCCTTACTGACCAAACCATTATTGTTTCTCTGTTATTATGGAAATACCTTGATCTCCAGTTGATAAAAGTAATAGAGACCATAATGGGGTCATAATGGGTCAAATCAAAGGTCAACCTATTACAGCATGTGCTAGTAATAAAGCACTTAGAAAAGCAAATATGAGCAGCGCAATGCTATAGTCCCCAAGATACCCACTTCACTTCCCATAATTTAATGTTCTGCTGCTTTTTGGGCCACAGGGGGATTGGTGGTGGTTAATAAACATCAGTAGGGTGTTTCTGACACAAACTTACTGTGTTCTTTTTGATGTCATGGAATCATATGGCCTCTGCATCATCCCATGGTAAAGAAATTCCAGCTCAGCTGCATAGGAAGAAGTTTGTGTTTTGTCTGTAGCATACTAGTTCTAGTGGAGCTCCTTATTATGTACTGCACAAGACAATAATCAGCTGAGGCTGATTTCTTCAAACTCCTCCTGTTTCTAAAAACTGTTACCTGTGATCCTCTCCATCATCTCTTCTGCAGACTGAAGACCATTCATCCCTACAGTTACAGATGTCTTTCCTGCTGTTCTTTGTACATTTTCCTTAAATGATTTTTCTAGTTTCTTTTATTTTTTTTAGTAATTTGTTAGTCCTAGCATTTGACTTGCCCATTACTGTGCACATCATAGCGGTAAAGCTTTTTCACATTTATCCCATTTATTTATATTTAGTTGTAGATATCATTTGACTGTTTTTGTGACCTATCCACAACACTTTACAGTAACCTTTCGTTTATACTATTCTGAATATCTTAGTGTCAAGAGATATTGTCAGCTCATGTTTTAATTGTTTTGCAGATCAGGTATAACTGTCTTGTTTAAAAAACAAAAAGGAGTTAGGATCTATTTGGGCAGTTTCTCCATGATACCGGCTGTGCTGAGATGCAGTAACTAATATTTCAGGAGCTATATTTTTCCTCTTTTCTTGTGAATTGTTTTATGGTATCAGAAACACAGAGTAATTCCTCTATTTAACTTCAAAATCAAAGCCCTTATGGCTGAGCAAGGTGTGCATAAGCACCTGTTTGTCCAGCTGGCCTGGACACCATCTGCACCACGTCAGGACATAACAAAGACATCTGCCCACAGAAGCTGGAGTACCTTACCAGAGCTACCTGCTCATTCTGTAGCACTTGAGAGACCAGTTCCAGGGAGGCTTCCTACACACCAGTGCACACTGGCTGCCACAGGTCCAAATTTTCTTGTGAGTGCAAAGGTGAGCAAATCCTGAGGATACCTGGCTGCGAGGGAAATGCAGAACTCCTCCTAATTACTTACCCATTGCTTTTCACCAACCCCAGAAGGTTAAACTGAACTGCAATTTCAAACTTGTAAACCAGTTTGGAGGGTACTTCAACATCATTTTGTATGAAAGATGCTCTGCTAGAGGCAGTAATGCTATACTTTGTTTAATGTTTGCCCTGAATTATATTAAACAAACTCTGGAAGGAATGATCAAAGGGCTGAGAATGTGGGAAAAAATAAGAGTATAAGTAATGAGACATATGATGTATAGATCAGCTCTGGGTTGGGAGAAAATTGTATCACCTGGAACTCAAGTGTGAAAATTAGACACAGAAGCAATCAGTAAATGTGAAATACTGAGCAATCCTATAGTTACATCTTCTCTTTATAATTTCTTATTTCTTATTGTCAGTTTCTCAAAATTTTCTTTCCTCATTTTATATGTCATAGTTTTGTTTCTCCTTTTTGATGACACCTTTTATTTTCTCTCATCTTGAAAATGCCTTGTTTCAAAATTTTATTGTCACTACTTGTCCCACAAACATTTTTATGCCTCAATTAAATGACTGTGCAAGGTTAAGTAATAAAAATACATTCTATTTCCCTGTCTTTATGATATTTCCTCTCTCTGATAGTCTGTCTTGTCAATTAAATTTAAGTATTTGAGCAGCTCATTGCAATTTCATCTACTCATCTGTAGTTGATAGCACAGTGGCAAAAAAGTTACTTCTAAATTTCAGAGGAAAAGTGTTCAAAGAATTTTAGTACATAGCAGTTTTCTTTTTAGTTAGTATACACAAAGCTCTAATGTGCCTTATTATAAGATTCTACAACATGCCTACAAAATCTCTGTACATGAAAACTCGCTGGGCTGAGAAGGAACTTCAAGGGGATTTTTTGATTGGGACCAAAAAATCAGTTACCAGTTCAGATCATCTTAAGAAATAATCCATTTTTGCTGATACAATTCCATCAAAGGTCATTTTACTTACTCTGTGTCTTTAGCAACAAACCTTCAATGCAGTTTAGCTCTTCAGTCTTTACAAGATGTTATTCTTTTCCTCTCAATCTCACATTTTTCTACATTTTGCAAATAAATAAAATTCCTCATGTTCTTACTTACTATTTTCTCACTTTATCTGCAATATAAACAAAGTGAGTCAACACAATTTTCCTGCATAAAAGTGCTGGGTACATACCTTGGGAAGGAGTGACTTGACCTGCATTGCTTTTGTAGAGTGCTGACAAGCTTCCTTCTGTAGATTAACACTTCATTCTGTATAAAATATGTCATAAAACATGTTAAAAGTATATTCTTGACATATTTGGTTCTTTTATTTCCAGACACATATCTAAAAGATTGTTTTAAACCTAAAAGTAGGTGGAAAAAAAAATGTAATGTTAGTCAACTGTATTTGATTCTGCATCACTAAAATCAATAGGAATATGGTTATTACTTTTTAGAATTTGCCCTTAGCACTAATGTCTGACCTCTGCTATTTTTGTATTTTATTAAAATGTATTCAAAATCAAATCAGTACCCTAAATTTCTTTTTCAAACAAGATGATTTTAAACTGGGTTTACTAAAATAACAAAGGTCAAGACACAGGTTTATGCTACAAAATAAGAGAGAGATTTAAAAACTATAAACTTGCTTTTTAGTATGAAGTTTAGGTCTCAACTTCTCGTATCAAATTTTCATCAAGTTATGTAGTAGAGAAAGTCAGCTTAGTTGTTACTTTACAGAAACTTCAAGTGCAGCATCTGGTATTTCTAATCTCTCTACTATTACAAACTTTCCTCTGGGCATCAAGCAATGCTTCATGTTTCTTTTGGTTTGTTGTTTTTGTTTTTTTTTTTTTTAATAACAATTATTTATTGAGAAGACCCTTCCCTCCTCATTTTTACAGTCATCTTTTTAATGTGCAATTCACCATTACTTTCTCAATAAGGGATATTTTAGGCTCAAACCCCCATAAAATATATTTTAGCAATAAGTATGAATAATAAAAACTCTAAGATCTGACATATTTTTTCAAATGTCGGTGAACATACTCTTTCTTTAGCTAGCAGAAAGGAACAACCTAAAGCAGAAACAGGCAAAAATTCTAAGCATATATCTCAACTGCATATTGCTTGTCATCTGAATGTCATAAATAATATGACATTGCTTTCACTGTTTTCCAATCCCTGTTTTGGGGGAGTGTCCCTTCTGTGCTACTTACCAATGAACAAACTTTCTTGTGCAATGCATTGGAGGAAGATCCCATGACTTCTTGGACATGTAGAAACAGAAGTTTTTACATATTCTTCTTTTCAGAATCATGATGCTAGTCTTCCAGTTTCCATTCTGCCAGCATCAAGATTTAAAGAAAGGAATAAAAAACCTTGTTGTGACAGACCCAACATCAACAGCATAGTTAGTAGACCCAACGACAGGCATAGCTGGTTTTGAGGTAGTTCATTCTATGAGGTTTCTCCTTCTACTTACATAGCTAATAAGAAAACAAGGTCCTTGCGCAACCTGATAGCCGAAATACAATCCATATGAGAAAACCTTCCACTAAGCATAGCTTCCACTCATGGAAACCTTGTTGTGAACATTAGTGTAATTTTATGCAATCGTAGACTGTTTTCTTAGTACATGGCTGCAGTCTTGCCACGTGTTTCAGAATCATATTGTTCAGAATGTAAATAGGGAGAAGGCTCACATAGTGAATGTGTGGTTATATTTTGTAGCTTATACTGCCATTGTGCTCTAGTTCTTTAGCCCAGTGATTCTATTTTCTAAGTAAAATCATCCCCTAATACAAAGATAAGCTTTGAATAAAGGTGTATGCAAACTCTTTGGGAAGGTTTACTTGCTACAAGTACTATTGTTGAGAACTGAGCTAAAAGTTACAGGTTGGGGTATTACAGGACTGTGTAAAATAATGCAGTAATTTTCTTGATATTTTCTTGCTAAAAAGGAAAGCTGGAATTTTATTCTAAACTTAGCTATATGAGCCTAATTAGTTAGTCTTCTTCTCTTAAATATTTTACCTCATCATAACATAATGCTATGATATTTCTAAGAAAATGCCCTCTTTGTCTGCAATCCCAGAGGTATTTCAGAAATAAATTCTGTTGTATTTTCACCTACAAGGTTGCCACCAGTGTTTTCTCACATAGAGAGGTGTACTATTTTATCCCCTTTTTATTTACCCAGTTTTCCTGCTTAATCCTGCCAACCAGTCTTCACAATATAATTGCTGTCTTGCTATCATGTTCTGACACTTCGTCTGCTTCAAATTCTTACATACATTCCCAAGTTTCCATACTGTATCAGACTGTTATCACACTGATATGGCACATGGCATTTGAAGACATTTAACAAGTGTAAAATTTTATTTAAATATGTTCAAAATTCTGTATGCGTTGCAATCTATATGTTTGAATTCAGAACAAGACTTCTGAAGATGATTTATGAAATTCAGTTATAAATAAATGTGATGGAAAGTAGGACAGGATTCAGGTAATCTTATACTTACTTAACCTGAAAGTTTGGAAACCCCATCAAAAAATCTCCTGGCAGTCCAGAAGTGCAGCTTGGCTCTGCAGGTGCCTAAATTTGCTAGCTAGAGGGTTCTGAATCTTACAGAACTTCTGAATTTTCCACATATTTTCAGAGTGGACAAGACTATTTTCATTCTTATGACAACCTCTTTCCATGGGTCTTGCAATTCATGCAGAGATAAATCTGACTTTTCCCAAGTATCCAAAGAATTCCTTCCCAATTATGCATGGTCACAAATGCATTTCTAACATATATTGCTTGTCTCTGTTGTCTCTACTGTCTAAGTATACCTAGAAATTTCTGTGGATATTTTCCACAACTGTCCAAGTCCCCAGCCTTAGTATTTAACCTTTACAAATGCATAAAGATATAGCTTTAAAAGGCCAAATTTTAATTACCAAGTAAAATTAATTTCACTGAAGTGAATATTACTTTTAATATGGATGCCTCAGTGTAAATTTTTCATATTGTCCTCTAGTGACAACTATCTACTTTTTTTCTAAAACAGAACAGTAAAAGAGGTACAGCTTAAACATTGGTTTGGTGTTCTAATGCCAGTCAAGGAACAGTCCATCCTTGAGAACCTTGTTCCTTGGTTCTCATGCTCCTCCTTGTTCATTGCTGGTTTGTGTTGAGCTTTACATCACCAAGACACCCCAAAGTCCTTTTCCTGCAGGGCTGCTCTCATTCTGCTCCAGCCTCCATCCATGTCTGGGATTGTCATTGTCCACGTGTAGGGCTCTTCATGATTTTCAGTCCTTCATTAGTTTTCATAGTCCCACTGAGCACCACTCTCCAACCTCCAGCATCCCAGATCTCAAGTTCTCAACATTCCTGGTCAGAAGTCCTCAGTTTGGCTGTGGATTCTTGATAGCCCATGAGTAATTCAGTGTGACTGATGAGGCTTTGATTTTGTCCTGGTCTTACATTTGTGCGTCGGGTCTGCGTGTCTATTTTTTCTTTCCTATGCCCTTTATATTATCTGCATTTGCATAGAAAAAGTCCTTAATCAGATAATCTGAGCAAAGGAAAAACAGATTTTCCATTCACAGAATAGCCTGAGTTGGAAGGGACCCAGAAGGACCATTTGGTCCATCTCTAAAGTGAATGGCCCTTATGGGTATTGGAACCTTGATCACCCTGCCCTACCCAAATGAGCTAATATCAGGGTCAGCTCCCACTGGAGGAACTCAAATACAGTGAGTAGTGCAAAACCTGTAATAAAAGACAGAAGTACTGAGCTACTTGATTTGGTATTGTTGGTTTATAGGTATGCCCCTCAACTAGTAATGCAGTAACAATGCAAGGAAACATACTGCAATTATCCAAAGAAATGCAGAGATTTGCTTTGTTGGTTTTGGTTTAAATACAGCTCAGTGTAAGTCAGTGAACTGAGCTATTTTTGTAGCAATTCAGAAACAGGTAGTTCTACCACCAAGGCTTCTGTAAGCCACAAAGGCACAATGTTCAACACATGGGGTTTGTAGCACCCTCCTTTTTCCCCTAAGGCAAACTCTGTCAAAGATGTTGATCTAAGATATGGGTCAGTTAATAAGCTTGTATCAGAACACTGCAGAGCCAACTGGGTTCAGAAAGAATCGATACTTCTTCTAGATAACAGGAGTCAAGGCCAAGTCATACATTAAACCAAACAATTTAAGCATAAATATCAATGTACTGCCTGACAGGATGCCAATAAATGTGCTTTAAAAGCAAAGGTATATAGCTTGGTCATATAATTAGGAATAAAGTACCAATAAACTAAAGGCACTCCTTAAAACCACTGAATTTATCTTAAAGGAGCAATTGACAAAAGCGCTTGGGGGAAACAGAAGCACAGGCAGAACCTACTTAACTTCAGCTGAAGATCAGACTTTGCAGGCAGCTTTCAGAATCCCACAGGTTTGGTTGCAAAGCCTTTTTATCTCCAAGTCAGGTATAGATCAATACTAGCAACATTTGCAAGACTGAAGCAGGTCACATATAGGAAAGAAGATGGTATCATTTTAATGAGGAAATAAAAGATCACAACCAGGATCCTTACAAAGGAGACAGAAAAGTCATTCTCTATACAGCAGATTTAATGGTTGTCTCCTAATGAATGCTGTGAATGTATGACAGAGGTTCAGTTTCCCCTGGAACTAAAATATTATGGAGTTTTTTTAGGCATTCAAGTGTTCTCTGAGAATTAAAAATGAGAAAGATTCAGTGAATTGTACCAGTATTTTGCCCTTGTATATCTATATTAAATGAAAACCAAATATAAACAGTTATCAGGGCAGAAGAAGAACAAAACCTCCCTATAACTGCTTGCCAGTCCACAGGATGATATAACTTTGTAGGTCTGATTGTCCTGCACCTTTTCTTATTGAGAAATGAAGGGAAAGAGTAAGTCCTAGCACAGAGCAAATCAAAGCAGAGCAGCCTGCTGCTGATCTCAGCAGAAGAAGGCAGATGACTCATTTGAGACAAATATATCTGCTGCTGCTCATTCACAAAGTATCCTGCAGTGGTAGAATTGCTTACAAGAGGTAAAGAAAATTCTATGAATCAATGACTAAAAAAAATAATTTTCAAGCAAAAGTTTTTTTTTTTTTAAAGTTCAAAGGTTTTTAATGAAAAAAAGCCCTTAGCATGCCCTAATATTTAATTACTTTAAAAATGCAAACACAATTGTTTCTGGTTTACCTTACCTGTGGGAGATTTATCACCAGTATTTGTGATGACAGGGAACAACCCAATAAACTAATGATAACAGATTTAGTTCCAAAGGGATTTGTCCAATTAGGTCTCAAATGCACTGGGGTGATCACATGAGAGTTTTCAATAAAGACTTAACTTTTTCAATAAATTTTACTGAACTATCAGATTGCAGGTAAGATTATTCATCAAAAAGCTGAAGTCTAAGCAGAGGCAGAAGCATTATCTATATTCTAGAATTCTCTTTTTCACTTCCAAAGAAAATGAAATTCAAAAATGAGTGTACAAATGCTAAGTGAAAATTATAGACCCATGCCAAATATCTGAGGTTAAATAATATCTGAATTCCGCACTTTTCCCTTCTGCAAAGCATAGAGAAAGATTCATTGCAGTCTCTTTGGGTTCAAACTGAAGATTCTGAAAGCATGTTTTTCTCTTAAAATTTCAGTGTTCATGGGAAGAGCTGCTTGTTGGTTGTAAATCAAATCAATTCTGGCCCATCAGAGCTCAGGAGCACAGTAAGGTGAACACTCAGCTGCATCTGCACAAACCACAGTCTCCTGGGGAGTCAAAAACCTGTGACACAATGTCCTTTCCATAATGCCTCTGTTGCCCCCACATTCTGGAACTAACTTCTTTTCCAATATTCAAATTATGTTCAGAGGAAGAATTAATATTGCTGCTTATAATAATTTCCTTTTTAGGATAGTCCAGTGATTAGAATGGTATGGCTCTGTAATATTACAGTACTTTTCCTAACTGTGCAAAAATTACTGTTTATCTTTGGACTTTTCTCTTTGAATCTAAGATACAAATAATGACATTTAACTTTTTTCAGGAAAATTATCACAATAGTTATTTGTGGTATAGCAGAAAAGACTGAAAGCTATAGCCAAAACAGTGTATCTCTTTCTGCTTGAAATTAATTTAGCAGTTATAACACATTCAAAGTTTCATCATTAAAGATGTTTTATCTGACAAAAATTATTGTTTTGCTTTTGAAGATTAATTTAATTTAAGGTCAAAAATGGAAAATTCATTGAAAAAAATGCTTGATTTTAATCATATGGTAGATGCAAGAAA